AGGGGGGAAAATATCAGGGGGATATTTAAATCCCCCCCAAAAGTAACAGAGCGTCCCCTGTGCATGCGCAGGGAACGCTCTGTGAACTGCCTCGCCACCACCACCGCCACAGGGGATGGGAGTGCAGCAGAAGGCTTGGCTGGCTGGCTGGCGGGCAGGCTGGGACCGGTGAGGCCCGGCGGCAGTGGCGGGGGGACAGGCGAGGCACAACGGCTGCAAGCTGCTGGGCCTCGCTTCGGAGCCGGGGGGAGGGGAGACCGGCGAGGCCCGGCGGCTGCAAGTATCGCGGGTCCCAACAAATAAATATTATCAATATCTAATTTTTACCCCTTTTGTTTTTATTTTTGGCAGTCTCATGTAATGTTAATAAAATACAGATCTGCATATTATTCAATACAAACATGTTTGCAATATTCGTTCGTGTCCTGCGGCTCTCAAACGTCTTACGTTTATTCTATGTGGCTCTTCTGTTAAGCAAGTTTTGGCCACCCCTGGAGTATACCATCAACAGACCCAACCAAGAGCTCAGCCCAGCTCTGGGATATGTTTGTTTGTTTGTTTGTTTCGATTTCTATCCCGCCTTGCCTGACAAGCAGGCTTAAGGCGGCGAACAATAATAATTTACAATAAAAACAGATAAAATTATAACAATAAAATATATAGTGCAGAGTAAATACAAACGATATAGTGCAAATGGCGATGGTTGTAGTTGGCCCCGTATGACTAGACCAGTATCCCAAAGAAAGAGCCAGTAATAGATGTTCAGTTGCTCGTTCAGTGGCGGCCCCTAATCGAAGGCCTGGTGGAAGAGCTCGGTTTTCCAGGCCCTGCGGAACTGTAGAAGGTCCCGCAGGGCCCTGATGTCTTCTGGGAGCTCGTTCCACCATGCCTGTCAATTACCTGTGGATACCTGTTATGTTTTATTTCTTGGAGAATGATATTATTCCTCCAAACCCTGTATACGAAGAGATACTGTATGCATAGTGTATAGCAAGATAACGTTTACTTTTTTAATAGCCTTTTGTTCACCCGTAAATATTCAGTAATAAAATTATATTTTAAAAAAAAGACATGCAGCTGCCTTCTACTGAGTCTGACCCTGGGCCTATCACGGTCAGTCTTGTCTACTCTGACTGGCAACGGCTCTCCAAGGTCTTCACTTCACAGACTACTTTATTCTTTTAAGTGAAGGTGCCAGAGATCAAACCTTGGACTGTCAGCATGCCAAGCAGATGCTCTACCACCAGGGGTCATTTCCTGCAAAAGCGCACAGGAGCAGAGCTCCGGCAGTAAAGAGCCCAGGGGGCGGGCACAGGCAACAAGCCCCAACCCCTGCTCCCAGCAGCCCGCAGTCAGAGCAAGAAGCAGCCAGGTAAGTTGCAGAGACCCCTCCCGGCCCCCCGGTCCAAAACAGTCCAGTGGCACCTTTAAGGCCGAGTTTTATTCAGGTACAAGCTCTCCCTCCTCTGCGAGGACAGATCTGCACGTCCCCCCCCAATAGCTAGCAATCCAAAACAGCCTAGTGGAGCCTGAGTGGTGGGTGTTGCCTTCTGACACACTTCCGGTGATGTCAGGGGGTGTGGCATATGCAAATAAGTTATGCTAATGAGTTATGCTAATGAGCTCCTGCCCCTCTTTTTCTACGAAATGACCCCTGTCTACCACTGAGCCACGGCCTCCCCCCACTCAGCCTCTGGTGTTCTTTCTCCTCCGCAAGGAAACTGGACCTCCTGAATATGCCATGGCTGGGGCAAAAGCAGCCATGAAAAACCCCTTATCACAAGATAGCAAACTGGAGGGGAAAAAGATCGGAACGCCAACGGTGTAAACAAGTCCATGTAAGGCAAACATTTTGAAGAGTATTCCTCCAGTGATTCTTGATTGTTCCCCTGCAATTTAAGTTCGGAACACTCTCACTCTCTCTGTCTCTCTCTCTCTCTCTTTTGTTCCATAGCAACCAATTGCAGTTTATTTATTATTTATACCATGCCCTGGGCTGTGCTTGATTGCGATGCGAACTTATCAAAAATATGCAAACATCAAGGCACTGAACCCTCTAAAGAAGGGAAAGCAAACAAAGATGTCAGTCAACTCCGGAATCAGCCAGCGTTCCCAGCCAAGGCAGCAGTATAACTGTGTACAAGGAAGCAAGGAGATAGGCAAGCCATGGAATTTGCGGCACACACAGTGAGAGCAAAAAAGTCACGACTGCAACACGGAGCACGTTTGTCTCGGCATGAATATGGGCTAGATCCCACGGAACTCTTTTGCTAAACGTACTTCCCCTGGTGCAAGGCGCTCCCTGCCTCGTAGGAAGAGAAGGGGCCCATAGCTACAGCTGGGTGGGGAATCTGCACCCTCAGAGGGGAAGCAAAGGAGCCGCAGAGGCAGGGCTCTCTTGGTGGTGACGCCTCATCTATGGGATGTCCTCCTTGCGTCCCTTTGCCTGGCTCTTCTCTTTTGCATTTCAGAGAAGAGGTTTAGATATCCCAGGCTAGCTCAATCTTGCAAGCTCTCGGAAGCTAAGCAGGGTCAGCCCCGATCAGTATTTGGATGGGAGCCCACCAAGGCAGACCAGGGTCGCCACGCAGAGGCAGGCAAGGGCCAACCGCCTCTGTTTGTCTCTTGCCTTGAGAACCCAACAGGGTTGGCCGTAAGTTGGGAATCAATTGCTCTCTTGTTCCACCCTGCGGCCTGTTAACTCTTGCTGTTCAGTCTGGCTGTTGGCATTGCTGACTTTTGTTGAGAGCCAAGTCCAGTGTTCCCTCTAAGCTGAGTGAGTGTGAGCCAGCTCACAGTTTTTTAGCCTCCAGCTCACAGGTTTTTGTCTCCGCTCAGGAAGGAGGGCTCCAGAGCAAACCAATTTGTGCAGCAGCCAAATCGCTCGCTCACAACTTTAATGCCAGGAGCTCACAAATTAGAATTTTTTGCTCACGAGACTCCACAGCTTAGAGGGAGGATTGGAGCCAATGCAGTGTAGTGCATTGTCAATTTTACGTTTTAGATATTTATTTATACGTTTATTTAGATATTTATACGTTTTAGATATTTAAACCCTGTCTCAACCACCATGACGGACCTTCCTGATGCTTTAAAAGTGCACCGTCTTCTGAACGACTCTGCTCCTGAAATATCAGTGAAGGTAGCCATGTTTTTACAATCCGCTACAAAGCCACGACAGGAAAAACTACCAAAATGAGTAACATTTTGTAACAGATTGTTTTATGCAGCATTATGCAATATGATGTAGTCCGTAAAATGGTTGGTTCTATATGTATATTTCTCTTTTATAGTAATCCTCTTTGAAGGTATTGTTTTATGCCAATAAAGGCTAACTGATTGACTGGCTTAAAGTGCTGGACTACACTCTGGGAGAACCGGGTTTGAATCCCCACTCTGGCGTCAAAGCTGGCTGGGTGACCTTGGGCCAGTCACGCGCTGTCTCAGCCTAACCTGTCTCACAAGGTTGCCGTGACAATTAAACGAAGGGGAGGAGAATGATGTAAGCCGCTTCGCGTCCACCTTGGGGAGAAAGCTGGGGTATAAATAAAATAGATAAGAAATAATAAAAATAAATCTGCCATCTTGTTGATTTCTTTCCTTTCTCTCCTGGTACCCACCAAGTTAGGTTTAGAATGTAGGTGGAACCAGGCAGGGCATTTGCCCACCAGGCATTCTGACCAGCCTTTGGAGATCTGATTTGCTGTGCAGACTAAAACAACACTGTTTTGGAAGCAGCTCTCACCACCACCAGAGTGCAACTCGAATGATAAAAGGGTTGGAACACTTTCCCTATGAGGAAAGGTTAAGGCGCTTGGGGCTCTTTAGCTTGGAGAAACGACGACTGAGGGGTGACATGATCGAGGTTTATAAGATTATGCATGGGATAGAGCAGGTAGAGAGAGAGGTACTTTTCTCCCTTTCTCACAATACAAGAACTCGTGGGAACTCCATGAAATTGCTGAGTGCTCGAGTTAGAACGGATAAAAGGAAGTCCTTCTTCACCCAAAGAGTGATTAACACTTGGAATTCACTGCCACAGGAAGTGGTGGCGGCTACAAGCATGGACGGCTTCAAAAGGGAATTAGATAAGCATATGGAGCAGAGGTCCATCAGTGGCTATTAGCCACAAGGTATAGATAGGGACTCTGGGGCAAGTGATGCTCTGTCATCTTGGTGCTTGGGGGGGGGGGTCAACAGTGGGAGGGCTTCTAATGTCCTGGCCCCACTGGTGGACCTCCTGATGGCACTGGTATTTCTGGCCACTGCGTGACACAGAGTGTTGGACTGGATGGGCCTTTGGCCGGATCCAACATTGGCATCTCTTATGTTCTTATGTTCTTATTCCGTCTCAGCTGTGACGCTTCTTGTGGCATGGAAATAAGCGAATGCCAAGTTAGTTGTTGTGGATTTTTCCGGGCTCTCTGGCCGTGGTCTTGGCATTGTACGACCGGACGTTTCGCCAGCAGCTGTGACTGGCATCCTCAGAGGTATAACAGATAAAGATGGAGTGCCCTCTGTGTCATTGACCGGAAAATCTATGACAACTAATGAACTCTGGCCGTGAAGGCCCTCGACAACATATTGAATGCCAAGCTGCTGCTGAAGGCATGGGCACAGGGGTCAGTTAAAGAGCTGGCAACCCAAACAGCTGCAGACCTTTGCTCAGGTATGCTCAGATTACAGGAAATGTAATGTGCGACCCACAGAATCCCCACAAACTGGCAAGACTCAGATCTGTAGAGGCCACCGCCCCCCAATCGAAGGGACAAGGCCCCCAGTCTGACCCCCGTCATTACCTTTGGAATCGGGTACTTCGTTGGTGCGGGTGCTTCGTCGCGGCCAAAGTCGATCATGGTTCCGCACTTCGGCATATCATCCACCCAGAACCCTTCAAAGAGCTGCCCGGAATCCAAATAGAAGAACTTTCCTGGCCCATTTTTCTTCCCGTCCTTCCAGGAACCTTCGTACCGGTTTTCATTCTCTGTCAAGGGATAGGGTCAGAGGAGCTGCCAGGCATGTCTCTTTGGTAACGTGTGCAGGGCCGGCTCACTCACCAGGTGAACTAGGCGCTCGCCTAGAGCACGCCGGCCCTTAGGGGCGCCAAACTGGCACACACACACCCTGCTGTCCTGGTTCAGCTGCAAACACTACTTAGTTTTAAACGTTATGATCTTTCTGATGATACAAAGAACTTAGCCCTCTGGGCACAGAAGGGTCACTCAGCTGAGTCAAAGAAGAATCTAAGCAGGGTGGCTATTACATAAGGACACTCAAGATTTCCATGCCATGACTTATGGCAACCCCAGCAAGGAACTGTCAAGGCAAGTGAGAAGCGGAGGTTGTTTGTGACTGCGAGCGCCTTTCTTAGCAGAGTCTTCCTTGGTGGAAGCCAGATGTGCAAAGCAGGCAAAGTTACAAAAGGAAAAGTGAGTGTTAAGAGCATGGGTGCCAGGGGAACGGGAGGTCCGCGGTACAGATCCAATTAACGGGTCCTGGGGTGCGGGGGGGGGGGGGGAGGCGCCAGAAGGGATCCTCGCCTAGGGTGCAAAATAAGCTGGGGCCGGCCCTGAACGTGTGGGGTCGCTAACCTCAACATTAAGGCCTGAATATTTCCTGGAATGACAACCGACCCCCAGTCGACATAAATCACTTATTTACTTAAAACATTCACTCCACTTCTCCTGCAGAAGACGGCTGCTCTGGGAGGTGGTCAGCATGGCCTTAGGCCCTCCCAAAATCCCTCCCCTCCCCTAACCCCCCACCCTCCCCCGGCTTCACCCTCCAATCTCCCGGTACGTCCGAACCCGGACTTGGCAGCCCGGGATGTGTCAGACGCTGGAACCTCCTGCTGCTCTCGGACCCCGGATCGTCCCCATGCTAAATCAGGTTATGACACCAAGGCTGTGATCCCGAGCATGCCGACCTGGGCACATCCCACTGAACTCGCTGGGGCTTCGACAACAGAGTGGTCCTGTTCCTTCAGACCGACACGGCTACCCAATGAACCTATCCGCTGGCTACGGTGAGCCCAAAAGGAAATCCACACAGTTCGCCATCCGTTGGGAACTGTCTTGGAAGAGTGACCGAGGCTGGGTCAGGGTATTTGGTCATCGCCAGGAAGCAGGGTGGCCAAGGTCCCTCCAGGCCACCGGCGGGGGAAGGGGGAAGGGTTGCCAGATCCAGGTTGGGAAATTCCTGGAGATTTTTTTTGGGGGGGTGGAACCTGGGGAGGACAGGGACCTCAGTGGAGCACAATGCCACAGAGTCCACCCTCCAAAGCATCCATTTTCTCCAGGGGAACTGATCTTCATCGCTTGTAGATGAGATATAATTCCAGGGGATCCCCACGCCCACCTGAAGAAGAAGTTGGATTTATACCCCGCCCTTCACTCAAGAGTGTCAGAGCGGCTTACAAACCCCTTTCCCTTCCCCTCCCCACAATAGACACCCTGGGAGCTAGGCGGGGCTGAGAGAGCTCTAACAGAAACTGCTCTTTTTCAAGGACAGCTCTTGTCAGAACTACGGCTTGCCCAAGGTCATCCTGCAGGTGTAAGTGGAGGAGTGGGGAATCAAACCCGGTTCTCCCAGATTACAGTCCACGCTCTTAACCACCACACCAAATTGGAGGCTGGTATCCCTACCAGGAAGACACATCCGTCACCTCCCAGGCCGTACTGCAGGGGAGGTTTTTGGCAGGTGCCGCCCATCCCAGGTTTGATATTCTGCCAGGGAGGCCGTGGAAGCCAGCTGGGGGGCCATCCCCCCTTCCCCAAGGAATCCAAATGCAGTTAGCCGCATGCCACTTCGGCAGCCCCTTCCAAACATTTCTGCGGCAGAAGGAAGGAAGCCAGCAGCCCCTCCCTCGCGAGTCCCTGGTTTAGAGTTACCCTCCCTGGGCCTGCTGCCAGCATCACGCTACCTGACCTTGGACGGAAGCTCAACTCCCCCTCCTTCCCTCCAAAACTCACTTTCGCTCCTGTCCTTCCCCGCCCTTTAAAAACGTGCACTTTGGAGCCCACTGCCAAGGACGGAGCGGATTATAGTAGACCTGTCGGCCTGCACAAACATTTCCTCTCTGCCTAATCTTTAAACGGCTAGTTCTTCAGCCATGTGGGACTGTCCCTGGAAGAGGGACCTGGGCCAGTCCAAGGGACTCAGTCACCTCAAGCAAAGTACGACCCTCCCGGGTTCACGCTGCCAGCCAGGCGCAAAGCTGGCTTGGACCTGGCTCGGGCTGGCAGCTGCAAGGGTTCCGGCGGTGAGGCTAGTCACGGACAACCCTCTCTCCAGTTCATTGAGGGGCATCTCCAGACTGGGAAATTCCTGGAGGTTTGGGGGAGGAGCCTGAGGAGGGTGGGGTTTGGAAAGGGGAGGGGCCTCAGTGGGGGTCAAATCTACCCCCCCCCAAGCTGCCAGTTTCTCCCAGCTGCCATTGCAGGAGGTCTCCAAGCCCCGCAGGGAAGTTAGCGCCTTGGTGGGGAGGGAAAAATCAGAGACGTGAGCAGCTGACGGCTTTGCGCCCCAGGCAGGAGCAGCCTATCTGAGCCGCAAGGGCTTAGAATTTCAGCATCTGTGTCTTTCAAGGCCCGCAGCCGCTCTGAACGTGGCAACCCAATTCTGGCTCCAGATCAGGGGGGGCCAGGGGTAGGCTTAGGAACAGTGTTCTCTCTAAGCTGAGTTAGTGTGAGCTAGCTCACAGTTTTTTTAGCCTCCAGCTTACACATTTTTTTTGCCTCGGCTCAGGAAGGAGGGCTCCGGAGCAAACTAATCTATGCAGCAGCCAAATCGCTCGCTCACCACTTTAATGCCAGTAGCTCACAGGGCAGACTTTTTGCTCACAAGACTCCACAGCTTAGAGGGAGCATTGGTGGGTGGCAGGGGTCATTTCGTAGAAAAAGAGGTGCAGGAGCTCATTAGCATAACTCATTAGCATAACTTATTTGCATAGGCCACACCCCCTGACATCATTGGAAGTGTGTCAGAAGGCAACACCCACCGCTCAGGTTCCACTGGACTGTTTTGGATTGCTAGCTATTGGGGGGGGGGGGGCGGCAGGGACGGG